CTTTGAAATAGCTATGTGATAAAGTATCGATGTAAAATATCAAACGATGCCTCTTATATTTAATAACGTCAATGATGCAAATATAGATATATTTCTGTTGCGAAGAATTCCAAATTTCTATAATTAATGTTTGAACTGAAATTATTAGCTGTTCCATTATACTAATGGAAAGACAAACCATTACTATCTTCGGCAATGGTTCAAGCACTCTATGCAATAATCACCAATAATGAATTAAATAACAATGAATTCATATTTAGACTTATATTAGAAGGCTCGCTGAGGCTGTGTCCTCACGATGCAATTACAAAAGTTGTTGAATTAATTATAGACGAACATTAAGTCACAGATGAAAGCGAGTGATTTTGCTCTTGGTAAAAAGAAAATGAAACTACGATGGTTATATATTTATGTACCTTTTATTCATTTTGGAAGTTTCACATATACACGTTAATTATTAACAACATAATTCCTCGTTTCTTTTTTTATATCTCTCAATTTATTTTTTATCCTTTTTCTTCATTACTTGGAAAATATAAATATAAGACAGTCAATGAAAAACTCTACCTTTTATAACATAGTTATAATGTAAACAATAATCTAACTCTTTCTCTTTATTTATAACTTCTAATTCATCTTAAGTTTTTACTTCATCATCACTTTCCCAATCGCTATTACTGACTTTTTTCCTTTTCTTATTTGGAGGTCCAGGTAGTTCAACAGCTGGTTGTGAGCTTTATTTTGGATCAGTTAAATGATCATGATCTGATTTGCCCTTACCACTAAACTTTTTATTTAATATCACAGATTCTTCTTCATCTTCCTTTGCTTCTCCACCAAATGATAAAAATTGAAATTTCTGTAACAAAATTTTTCATTACAAAGAATAATACTATCATGGATAAATGCTATAAACATATATGATTTTTACTTTACTCCTTTCCTTTACTTCTTCACTTTCCTGTACTATTATTCTTGGTATAATATCAGAAAATGGATTGTTCAATAATTCAGCTTTTATCATTTTTGGAGCATAAAGTGGCCTATCATTCTACAAAAAGAAGGGAATATTATATTTATATAAATTCTTGATATATTTTCTTGCAAACATTAGATATAACATGCTTAAACTTAAAGAAGCACTTGTAGATGAGATAAATTTAGTTTCTCCAGTAGCCTTACCAAAGATTGTGTTTATTCTGCAATTCTGACGTAGAACCAAGAGTAAAGTAGAATTGGGAATCATTGTCATCTCTGCCACAGCAATTGAACCTGTTCGACAAAAAGGTAATCTTGTATGAAATTCGTCCTAAAACACAAATATCTAATAATTATTTTTGAAGAAAAGAAGCATTCATTTTATTTTTAAATATAGTCTCACTTTAAATTTCTCTATTACAGTTCTCCACATATGCTTTTACTACCTCCACCTGTACCTTTGAGATCACCAGCATATGCTATGAATTCTTGGATAATTCTATGAAATATAGTGTCATGGTACTAACCTTCTATTGTATAACATTTTTACATGCCATGGGAGTTTCTTTTGCCCATAATTCTAAATCAATATCACCAATAGTTGTTTCCATTGTAACCTTGTTATAACAAATATATTAATTTTATTAATGTACAATAGTTTTGAAATCAAAGTTATTAAAATTTATTATTTATTATTGGAATTCAAACTAGACGGAAGATCGTGATGGTCGCCGTTATGAAATCATAGATGCCATCAAACCAAAATTAATAACTAACAATTTAGAGTTAAATTCTTTACAAAAGTTACATAAGAAGGTTGCTTGAAGTTCCAGCTTTGCAATGAAATTATAAAAGTTCATAAATTAATTACGGAAATTCAGTGATTTATTAACTTTTTTCCGTCGGAGCCCTTCTATGTTTTTTCTATCCTCTCTCTGTCCTTGTCTGTCACGTGACGAGCTCTTCGACGACCTCCTTGCCTATTCTATGTTCCTATCACTTTTTCGAGCAAATGGTCCAAAATCATAGATGGCGCTGATCGCAGGCGGTAAAATTTTTATTCGAACTAGATACTAAAAATCAATTCGACAGTAGAAAATTAATAAATTTCCAAGTTTTTGTAATTAATTCATGAACATTTATAGCTGCACGGCAAAGTTGGAATTATAAGCAACATTCTCATAGGATGTTTAATTTAATAATTAATACTTACATGAGCGATAGGTTTTGTATTTCCTGTAGTAAATAAGATTGCTGTAGAAAAGTATTTTTCTTGCACAATATTCTTATTATTTTGTAATAAATATATACTAGCATAAAAAAGCGTAATAAATAAAATTTTTTATTAAGAAATTTTATTTACAATTGTTTATTTACAATGTTTTCATCGGCGAAAAATGAATACAAAATAAAAAATATATTGAAAAAGCTATGGACCGGAATCGAACTCCCGCTGCTCCATTATAGGAATTCTTGATCGTCACCGTTACGCTACAATTTAACTTGAAAGACATTGGAAATAAATATAGAATTAAAAAAGTAATAAAACTTAATCATAAATATCTCAAAAACTGAATAGTTGTGGCTATAATGATATATATTCTTGAACTGCATAAGGATATCTAGAAACCTTCCAAGTTTCCACTAAATCGATGACCGGAAGGACTTGCACTCTCCTTGTAAGACTAATCGATTACTTATATTTAACGAAATAATTAAATTATATTTAATGAAGTATAGTGAGTAGGAGCAACAAGAAAATGACATTATTTTTTACATTATTATTTAATGTTTTCTACAATATTTTCTGTGAATCTATTACAAATAGTTACAATGAATCATGATTTGTAATTGGACTACTAACATTTATCAACTGCTATCATTCTACGTTCCTAGACATCAGTGTTAAAGACTAGACATTAACATTATAACAATGACACTGATTTTACTCAAATTTCTACGACACTTATATAAAAATATTCTAGAAATTGCGTTGCAACAAATTGCTACCGACTGACTCAAGAAAGTAACATATTATCCATAACTAATAGTATATCCCATAGAAATCATAAGTGTCTCTTTAATAGCAGGATGTAACTGTTTCTCAATATATCTTGTTAAAGCTTGGCTGGCACCTCGTAGAAACACATCTTCCATTTCTCTAGCAACATGCTCCTTCGATTGCCAGCCTCTACTATCGTTCTCTAAATCAATTGGAAAAATATTATCTAACGTTTCATCGATGTACAGATGTCTAGTTTCCTTTGGTGCGTCGTTTTCCATGATCTGATAGCTATTCTCTCTTTTAACATTCACCTTTGATTCACTGTCATCCAAGTTACTCAGAATAGTCTTGGTTGTATTGTTCAGATTATTCTGCTTCGTTTGATCTTGTTCGGAACAATTACCAGTTTCGTTGATTCTTGTCCTTTTTTTGGTTAAGGCGTTTGTGAAATCTTGAGGGGTAATCGTCTCCGTTGATTTCGATACCTTTATGAAATGACTATTAGATTCCTGACCATTTTCGAAATATTCTGGAAAGCGACGAACACTCGAAGAACTTACAACAACATCAGATTCTAGGAGGGTTCGTTTCTCACGCGATAAAGTTTTAGTAAGCCAAACGTTTTTCCTCCAGATTCCTAATTTCGTAACAGGAGTATTTAGCAAACGAGACTGGCGAGTCTCGTTTGGGATTACCACGTCCACCTCTTTCGAAACACCGATCAATTGACGTGGTTCCGCTGCTTCGTAGTCATCGTTCAGTGTTAAAGGCGGAAGTGTGTGCTGAAAAAGATTATATGCTTTATTTTCGACGTGTCAGTAACTTGTCAGAGACAATTTATTGGAAATAGAAAAATTGAATTACCTCGTTTCGAAGTGGATAGAACGGTGGCCACTTGTCCTGTCTTTTTATTTGTTTGTCTAAACGTGTAGGATGACAACCATAAGCGTAAATAGAAGCAAATCTGGGCTCTAGAAAACTGGACTCTGTTCGAATTCGCATTTGCCCCCTGCCACGTGCGATTGGACTTGTTAAAAAATCAACACCTGCTCGCCTTAATCTTAATGTCATTCTACAGGACTCGGCTGGTATAGGTGTCTGATGATCGCGCGGCATTAACGAGACCAATCCAGAAACCGATAAATCATTAAACATTACTCGAGTTTGAAGAGAATTGTTGCTTGGCTCATAAATGCACTTGTCAACCCTGGCCCAAGGATTTCCTTTGTCTCTAGCTCCTTGTGGTAACTAAAACAGAGAAAAGTGTCTAGAATAAACTGATATTTAAAATATCCTTTAAAATAATCAAGTCTAAATACATTTCCTTCTCAAGGTTTGTAACAAATTTTCTTTTAAATATATTGTTTTAAATGCAGAACAGAAACTAACTCTTTTACGCATGCAACTTGTTAACGATAAATATTACTTTAACAGCAATCCTAGAGACCGACATCTCAAATGGTATAGAACGAAGTTCTTGTTGATAAAACATCCCGGCTTCCTCTTCTTCGAGTCTTTTCCTTCTACTCGAATCTTTGTGAAGTGCATCTAGAGCACGTTCCAATCTTCCACCGCAAGCTTCCCAATTCCCGATGTCCGAACGAGCGAAACTAATCGATGAAAACGTCAGGAGCAGGATCGCTAATGTTTCGAAGACTAACACCATCTCTGTAAACGATAAAAGGACTAATGTAGTAAAATATCTCGGAGGTTTATAAAATTCGTAATCGTAATATTACATAAATTTATTACATTGTGACTTTCGATTAGTTCAGTATTCGATTTCAACATAATAGAATTGGAATAAGAACAAGATTATCGAAAGCAAAAGCTATTAATAATTGATCATGTAAAAGAGAAAAAAGGTAGCCAGGTCATTGCTCCTTGCGTTTTCATAGTAAACGCAACTGCAATGATATTTTCAAGGCTTGTAGAAAACAAGAAGGTGCATCTACGTGTGGCGGCATCATTAAAATATCTCGGTAGGTATATCCTGTAGAAACTCAGTGAATTCAAGTCGCTGAAACAGAGCATGAATGCGTCTTCCTTCCGTCTGTTTCAGCGACAATCGAGTGAAACCAGGAAGCATAATTTGAACGTGAACTGCCTCTGTTATATTCATCAATTATTAGTAATTCTTGCGAGTAACTATTAGTCTAGTCGCACCAATATCACAAAATATTAGAGCATACTCTATTTCTTACTTTCTCAACTAAAATCATGCTAAAATAAAATAACATTAAAAATTTTGTAAATTATTAATAATTACAAAAGTTATAATAATCATAATTGATAAATATTATATCAACTTAATACTACTAAACTTAACTTTTCACACAAGACACTAACTTCGTTTTTATATAGTGTTAAGTGTCATTTTATTGTTTATATAAGTGTTAAGTGTTATATAGTATAGTATTAAATGATGTTATAAGATGAAAAAGCAATATGATTTCCCAATACAAAAGAAACACGAGTTTCTCAATTTTCTAATTGACCGATATCGAAATACTACAGTATAGTACGTAGCAAAGAGCAGAACAATGTTCCATTCAAGTACACACAACTTTTTTACATTGTCTCAAGTACGAAACCTTATTGTTTGGTCGGAAGGTATGAATCTTAGTTGGCAAGGTGAATAAGGCCAGCACCACTATTTTTGTATGCTAATGCGCGATTCGATGTTGATTTCATCTGTTGGTGCTTTCGCGCTCCGTTAACCGGCAATCTGATGTTGATTTTGCAATTTTTTATCCAAAGTTGTTTTAGGATTCACCTATTTTGTTTCAACTTGTACACTGAACACGATTCATTTTTTAAATAAAATTTTAAAAAATTCGAAATTCAAGAATATTATACGTAATTGTTTATATATAAACCACACGGTCCCTATAAAAATTATGTACCGATGATACATTATATCGAATACAAGGTAAAAAAAAGTGCAACGAGTTTCTCTTAAACGCAATATAAAAAGAAAAGAATGTATTTCGATTATTATCAACTAAAATAGCACTTAAAAGAGTGCAATGTGAAAATAGTGAAAAACATGAATGAAAATTTAAATGTATGCTCACTGAAAGTCCGAACGTATTACGTTCCTTTTTTTTAAACAACGAAAAATTTAACATAAAATTACTAGTTATTCCTACAGGAGATGCGAGTACTTACCTTGCACCTTTGGTGTGAGGCAGATCGAATAACAATGAAAGTGGCTAGATACGCGCGGTAGCTCCTACTCTTAAGTTTTTCTTTCTTTCTTCTTCCGGCGATACGTGGAATACGTTTGAAAGCAACGAGCTTGATCTCAACATCGCGTGAGATTTACGCTGTGAATTAAATCATTTCATAATTCACAAAGCAGCAGTAGTTGTGACATGGCGATCTTTTAATAAATAGGCATTAACACATTCCATTATGATACAGACAAATCGGTTTATATAATGTAGTGTGGTTATCGAAGATATTAATAATGTTTTGTATAATGTTTTGATTACATGCAAAATATTTAAATATATTTGTATCGTTCAAATTTAAAAATGTTTGAACTTTTACGATAATCGAATAATGACCAAAAAGATACTAATATTGACATTGTAAAATATCGTATTGTAGTTTTATACATCGATATGACATGATAATAATTCAAATTTATATTTGATATTTCACTTCATTTATCTGGTTCTAATGAAACTAATCGGAGGAAGTAATAATTAAATTACGGAATACGCGATCGATGCGACCTCAAACAGTTGATCACGGTTGTCCTTTTATTTCTTAGTTGAGAATGAAATTAAACATGATGTATCAATTTACTTATTGCATATGTGATATTGCGAATTATACTACAATTACAATTGTTCGTTAAATATTGTGTTATTGTATAAAGACGTTTAATTATTTGTGATTTTACGCACTTCAAAATTTCTTATAAAATATCTACAAATAGTTTTTTAGGTTATGTACACAAAATGTTTTTCTCCAAAAGGAACTTGTGTTTATTTATTATAATTTTAGGTGAGATATCACTATCTTTTATTGCTTTTTGATGACAATGCTATTTTAATCTCATTTATTTAATTCATATAATAGGTGTCTTTGCACAAATGAACATATGTGAAGTAATAGAGACAATTCCATTTAAAATGTCTGATCAAGAATATAACTCTAGCTTGGAAAATGTGAAATATGAGGAAGAACATAAAATTATTGAAACAAATGTGACAACAAATAACTCGTCTTCTAATGTGATTAAAGTCAATTGCTTAATGGATAAAGTCTATGGACCAGTAGAAGTAATATAATAAACTCCTTTAAAATGTAAAATATAAAGCAAAAAGAAATCATTATATGCCTTAATTGTTTCAGATTGTTAATGCAACCAGGTTAATGAAATTATTAGTACTAGAACCTGGACTATCAAACAAAAGTAGAAACGACAAGGAAAGTAGACTACTACCAGGAACTTGCGTGATAGTATTATTTTATGCCAGATGGAGTATATTTAGTAGTCAAGCTGCACCACATTTTAACGCATTACCACGTGCATTTCCACATATCAAGGCAGTGGCATTAGATGTTATTAAATACCAAAAGTAATACCATAAAATAAGATGACTTATTTATATACGCTTATTTATAAACTTATTTATAAACATTTTACGTTTAATACTTTTAGCTTCAATGCTCAATATGGAATTGTTGGAGTCCCAACAATAATGTTTATTCATAATGGAAAGCCTGTAGCAAAGTTTAACTACACTGTTCACACATTGGAAGCTTTTGCAATATTTATAACGCGAATAACTAACTTACAACCAAATGGATCACTGTATGTTACATCCTCGGATTTTGCTGGTCCTGTTTCTAATATACCTTATAATGGGACAGATTATTGTCTAGTCCTTTCATGGGTCTTTATTACTGCATGTGCTTTATACTTTACATCACAAAGCAGGTGGTGGCAGCAATTTGTAGAATTAATTCAAAATACGTGGCGTGAAAGCAATGCTCAACATGAGCATGCTGATTAAAGTATAAAAAGAGAATATTTTATATCTCATGTAAAAAAACATGGCATAAAATACAAACTCATGGTATTATTATTAATTCGTGTGATAATATATGCGGCAATTATTAATTAAGATTAATGTAAATATACTTTGATAAATATGTAAAATATATGTTATCCAAAACAATATCGTATAATTACTCTGCAATAACTTTCCACCATCATTAATATATATTACACTCATAAATTTATGTAGTACTAGAAGTATCAGAAATTGATTTTTGGTAATAATAATGATTATAAAACTACAAATTGGGAAGTTTCGGAATCATGAAGTTTGTTCAAACGGAACTTGAACGTATAGCGCGCCTTTTATCAATTGAGCATCTAATTTATTTTTAATTACTATCAATTGTTTTAACATACGTACTATGATGCAAATAATTTGAAACTCTCAATAGAAAAAACATAAAAATATGGTAATAATTTATATTATAGTGAAACAATTATCATCTTACAAATGATAAAACTACAATTTGACTTCAATAATTTTATACCGAAACTCGCATGTAATGGCCGACTTCGCGATTCACTTATCACATCCCTAACTTCATGATTGTTGTGTGCGGCATTTGTTTGCGCTGAAGTTCGTCTCTAATGAGTTTTGTTATCGCTGTTATTATAAGAAAGAGATGCTGTTTATTTTTATGTAATATAATTGAGCATAACTAAGTAGATATTTTATGGAAAATCAAGTCTCCAGGAGAAACAATATGATACTGTTGTGTATCTGGACACATTTAAACAATTTTACTGATTTTTGTGATTCATCGTCAGGTTAGGTTCTTAATAGGCGGCCGGCTTTGTTTTTAAATTAAAGTTAGGGTAGGTGAACGTAAAAAATTCAGTTAAGTTGATAAAAAGGGTGGAGGGTCAGGTTAAGGTCAACAGAGATCCTCTACGAGGTCAACACCAAAACGAAAGAAATAATGGGCTCGTTGAATCTCGTTTGCCCAATGTGTTGTGGTGAAACGTTTAACAATCCACAATCATTAAAGTATCATTTATTAAGCATGACGGACAATCTATACTGTCCTGGTTGTTCACAGCGATCTGACTCAGTGATGGCACTCATTCAACACTTAGATCGATGTGGTCAGAGTATTGAATCAGATACACCTTGTGAGTTAAAGCATGTGCCTAAACAGGAGACTCCGGAGGAATCTCAGCCAGATACAGAGGTGCTAATGGTTGGCACCAATTTAAAGTTTTTATAACTATATTTTTTGGGGGTTTTGTGTGATAATTTTAATTTTTAGGATACAAATGTTGAAGGGATAGATCAAAGTTTTCTAGCAACTGTAAATGACAGTGGAATTATGATAGTGGATGGGCCTCAAACTATACAAGTTGATGAAAATGGTGTGTAAATATTCTAATTTAATGTATACTAATTTTGTTCATTTGACTATCACTTCTAATAAAAATATCAGGAGACATTAAAGTCGTAGAGAAGTTGGAAACTGAAGAGACACAAATGGAGCAAAATTCTTTGGAATTTAAGATGACAGAAAAAGTTCCTAATATTGTTAATAAAGCAGAAGAGAAACCTTTATCTCAGGATCAACTAGTAACAATTTCAACTACTTCAGAGGCAGATAATAAAAATAGAAATAAAAATGTAATTACAATTTTACCCGATGGCTCAGAGTTACTTGATGGAGGTACTGATGCTCTGATAAACATGGAACATATAAATGATGTTGGTGAATTAGATGAAGATGGACTTTTACATGTTAAACAAGAACTCTGTGAGGTATAAAAGAATTATTTACTGCTATATACATTTGGATGAATAAATTATATAACAATGGGGAATATTTCATTTTTATAGATTGAACCAGAAGCAGTTTATAGTTGTACTAGTTGTGACATGAGCTTTAATTCTGTCGTGGAACATATAAAACAGTTTCATGATGGACAAGAAGTTTTACTTGAAATAGCTGATCAATTAGATGATATACCTACTGTACCTGCAACTAACACCCTGCCTTCAGAATCAGGAAATGTAGTCAATACTAGGCAAAGACAAAGTATGAATACCCTTCGCACAGAAGAATGTGTAGATAGTGAGGGAAGGTTATATACAAGAAAAGTAGTACAAATAGAAAGATTCTGGGATAGAACACCAGCACAATCGTCACTCCAATCTACTAAAGCACCAATGATTGAAAAGTTTTTTTCCAATGTAGAAGGAGTAAAAGTATGAAAAACAACAATCTATTTTTATCTATTTTTTTATATGATAATAAAGCTTAATGCTTTTTCGTATACATTAATTATAGGTACGAGAAAAAAGATTAGCTGCAACACCAATGAGAATGTACAGATGTAATCAGTGCCTTCAGCAATTTTCCAAATTAGGAAACTTCCGAGTGCATGCATGTCTTCATGGTAATAATCGTTGTGATAGTTGTGATCAAACTTTCGCAACACCTAAAGCGTTACAATTACACGCAAAAGTGCATGAAGGTGAACCCGATCCAAATCAAAAAACATTCATATGTGAAACTTGTGGTACAGAATTTTGTTCGCATAAAAGTTTGCGTTTGCATTCACGAATGCACGCACCAATCAGAGCAAGGCACGTTGATGCACCTGAGGGAACACCTAGTGCAACATTTACATGTCCTGAATGTGGTAATATTTCGAATACTGGTCTTAAGAATAATAACTGATTTTTTATCTCAGTACTTGTATACTTCTATACATAATTATATGTTAATCATTTACAGGTAAGACATTAGCAGAATCATACAAAGAAGCACACATGGCCTTACATTCTGGTGACTCTGTAACTTGTACAGTCTGTAATAGGAAATTCGATTCTGCTGATAGTTTAGCAATGCATGCTGCAGTACATACAGAACTAAGTCAACCACATTCACCTACACTACCTTCTACTGAGACAGCTACAACTGCTGAACTTGCAGAAAATCAAAAGCCTTATCAGTGTCAACATTGTGGCCGAAGATTTACAAGACCACACGAGAAAGTAAAACACGAACGTATTCACACCGGAGAAAAGCCACATGCATGTGAAGTAAGCATAATAAACGTAATATAATTATAATATTTTAATCTCTATTATAAAATCTCCCTAATTTCTTTTAGGTTTGCGGTAAAACGTTTCGTGTATCTTATTGTTTGACTTTGCACATGAGGACTCATACTGGTGTTAGACCATACGGATGCCAACATTGTGGTAAAAGATTCAAGGCGTCATCTGTATACAATCATCATTTACTTACACATGGAGAAGAACGTGCTTACACGTGTCCTTATTGTCCAAAAACTTTTAAAACACGTGTCCAATTAGCGGGACACAAAAACAGTCACACTAAACCATTTCGGTGCACTGAGTGTTCTCGTCCCTTCGCTTCCTTGTATGCCGCGCGTGCTCACATACAAACTCATAAAAAAGACAATAATTTAAAATTCAGTTGTTATATTTGTGGTGCATCTTATGGAAGAGCATTTGCACTGAAAGATCATTTGAAACAACATGGTCAAGATGTACTGGCTCCTCCAGAACCAGCTAGAGAAGAAGAAATTCACGAAGGAGAAGATTTTTTGCTTGCTGAAGAAGAGGTTGAAGATGATGAACTAGTTATTCCATCACCGTTACCCATCACACAGTCATCAGAAGCTGATGACACAGAATGAAACTATAAAAACTAGTCAGATGTTTGTTATAAATTGTAGTTTAATAATGTTCAATATAACAGAAAAAGATGACAGATGAATCCCTATTTTACGTAATATTTAAGGACTACCAGCAAGACTTGTATTCGCACATTGAATATTATGAAATTTTAGTTTCTATGAAAAAATGACATTCTATTATGAATTGCTGCTGTGACTAAATATGATAGTATTCGTTTGTAAATAACATACTATAAATTTGTATATCCTCAATGATATTGTGTGGATAGAACATGTTAAATATGAATAGCAATTGTATTATGAGCGACTATAGTTTCATTATGCCTGTTTAATGTATTAAAGTAAAAAAGTCTATATTATTTAATTTATAATCTATTTTAACAATTGAATTTTATTACTAGCTACAAATATGTTGTGATTTTTAGTAATTCGAATCTTTCTTAATTTCTATCTTTATGGTTATTTAATAGCAATATAAGAAACATAATAAAAAGGAGTTAGAAAATATTAGTTTATTTAAACTATTAATAAAAGAAAAAAAGTTAATGAAGATCAAAGATTAATATTATAATTTATTTCAGTTCTAATGGTGTTAAAATTTAAAAAATATAGTGGTTTATTCGTAAAAAAGCTATTATGTAAAGAATTAATAATTTCAATTAGTTTTATTCTTTTAAAAAGCTAACATTCTTTACCACCGAAATCAACGTGGTATTATTATATTGTAATAGCCTATGGTCATAATTTTTTGTATATTTTTCGTATGTTAAAAAGTGTTAATAAGAATCGACGTTTGTCCAGATAATTCTGGATGTGACTGACTAGAAAATAATTTACTAAGTACAAATTATATAAAAAGTCTAATAAGAAACATAATCTGCAAGAATATTTTTATTTAAGTGTGCCAAACTTATATGCTTGTAAATAAGCAAAAATCAACTAATTTATATACAACAAAAGTCTATCGCACATTCTTATACAAATATTTGTATGAAAATTGCGTGTACGCGTGAACCACAACCAAATAAAATATGATTAAGAATTAAAACATGAATCGAATCATAAATTATTTTTTCAAAAAATATAATATACTTTTAAGCGTGATATACCTAAAATTTATCGATAATAACTTTAAATACCTTATATTTTAAATCTTTCTAAAAAGCTAAATAAACAAACTTGCTCAATATTAATGCATCATCTGTTGCATTTAGATTAAGCTTTCAGTATTCTATCAAAATTCGTATTGTTCCTGTATCTTATAAAAATAAGTGACATGAATTTCTTAAATTTGTGGAACAAAAGTCTTATGTTAGATGTACAGTGGAATTATCACCTAAAGAGCATCTACGATTTCGTGGCTACTAATTCGGAAGTATGATTTTGCGTTTAAAAAATCATCTTATTATTATATTCATTATCGTCATAACTGATAAATCTATAAATTCTTAGTGGAAAAATGCTGATACTAGCAAGTATACTCTCTTTACATACTACAATAAAACTCTGAATCGTGAACATGTATATCGTACATTTAGGTACATGTTTATATGTCCCTGGATATTCCTATGTATCGATCTGTTTCAAAACTATATTTTGGGAGAAATTGGTTGTCAAGTGGATGGATCATTGGTGAATACCTTAACATTAGTTGTTGTTTTTAACTTGCGATCAATTATGATCGAGTTTCGGCTATTATTTTCAATTGCTCAAAAATATTTTCCAAAACAATGCATAATATACAAATAATTGTTACAGGTATATTAGCAGATATTTAGTATTGGTTAATGCTGCAATAAATCCTTTACTGATTAATACTAAGGTTGCACTAGTAGTTCATTGAGAAAGGAATTACCATTGTGTCCAGTTATACCTTGGCTAATTCAGAAGAAGAAACAACAAGAATCGAAACTATGCAATGTTTCACAATTAAAAGCACATAATTTCTATGATCTAAAGCCAAGATCCCTTTGTGTATGAATTAACTATAATGATAAATGCGTAATACCGAATATTTCATCAACTACTTTATGAGTAAATTTTATAGTTCAATCTACTTCAATTTCGATATGCTTTATATACTTTATTGAGAAATATAACAAGACTAAAACGAGCAATATCTAATGTATTAAATCCTTTGTATAGATATACTTTTCATCTATTATGTTGCATACTTACATGTGAAAAATATAAAATATTAATGCAAATAATTACATAAAGTAGAAACAGCAGTTTTGAACACAGAGCACTTTTCAATTTAATCGAAACTTAATCTATGTTTGCACAAGTAGAAAATAAAAATGCATGGATACCTAGACATCTGAAGTATTATTATTTAATCGTAACGTTTCTAAGGCTGTCAGCTATGAGTTTTTCACCATTAGCAGTTAATAAAAGATTACCATTCCAAGACGCCTCTCCACTACCATTTACTATGAGGTCAGCCTGTACAAAGAATTAAATTGTAATAGCTTGTGAGTATGTGATATTTTCTACTTTATTGTATAAAAAATAATAAACGTACTTGTAATTTTTCCCATATTTTCTTTTTTGGATTCAGTATATCATCTGGTAATCCATTTTCATATCCATCTATAATGACCTTTTCACCTGGTTTACTATTTAGTGGAGGTCTTAAAGGTTCAACTTGCTTTACAGGTTCATCCCTATGTTTATAAACATACATTAAAGGAATTATGTAATGTAATAAGAAAATATATTGATTAAATCAAAACATACACTGAAGCACATAAAACCATTCCATGAGACTGAACACCTCTTAAAGTTGCTGGTTTTAAATTTGCAAGTACGACTACCATTCTGTTTTTCATTTCTTCTAATGATATATAATTTACAAGTCCACTGACTATAGTACGGGGTCCACTAGTTTCTCCGAGATCAATTTTTTCTATATAAAGTGAGTCAGCATCAGGGTGTTTCGATACTTCAATTATCTTTCCAACTCTGATATCCAAGCGAGCTGGTGTTAATTCCTCTACAACTTCTAGATATGTAATATAAATATTAGATTATTATTTGAATTTATAATTTTTATAATATATACAAATCACATATAAAATACTACTTGGCTTTTGTGGAGGATATGCCTTATTCACCAAACTTTTGAGTTTTGGATCTGTTTCGAATTCTTTTCTAATTGGATCCAATAATTTATTAATATAAAACTCAACGGCATTTTTTAAATCACCAGGATGTACTTCTTCCTTAGCAAACGCGCTCTCTAAATTCTCATACTTGTCAAATGATATACATCCACCTAAAAATATTAACATTAACATTATGATACAATCATTAAAATAATATAATTATAAAAATGATACATACCAAATTCAGCTGTTCTTTGTACATTAAAGGATTCTCCTTCTTTTAATAAAGGATATATTACATGTTTAGCAAATGAAAGAATTCCATTGTCACTAATATTACCAGGTTCACAAAATGCTTTCTTCAGTTTCTTCTTAACCATAGCAGCACTATCCAACAAATCAATTTTTGAATCTTCTTCAGATGAAGACATCTTAGATCCTGCCAATCCAGGAACTAAAGTGAGGTGTGAAGTATTATATTATATTAATTTTACACATCACATTCTGTATTTAATGTTTTTATATTACATACATACTCATTGGATTCATTAAATGGATACGTTTTTCATATCCAAGTAATGGCAAATATTTTTCTGAGAAAGTAAATATCTTTCTTTGATCTATACCACCAAACTGAGCATCAACTTCAAGATATTGTTCATCCAAAGCTTGTAAGCCTGGATACAATAATCCAGAGAGCAAAGGATTTGCAACTTGTTTAACTACTTCAGCACCTGCTTTTTTTGCATCATGCTCAGTTACAACGGAACTTAAACGATATATATCTAATGTGTATGCCCTAGAAAAAATAATGATATAATATATATTTATATATCTTTTCATCTTTATATATAATTGCTTACTTGGATAATTGATAATCTGTTCCTTTAATAAACTTTAACTTTTCCAAAGGTATATTTATGGACCTAAGCATGGTTTTGATAATTGCTTCATAATATTGAGTACGAAGTTCTAAAAGCTCCCATGGAGCTTTCATATTATCTAAATAAGCATGAAGATCAGCAAACAATATAGTAACTTCTGTGCCAGCATTTAAGAAATCTGCTATCTTAGACACTGGTCCAAAATAACCAATGTGAGGTTTACCAGTTGTAGCAGTACCCCAATAAAGTTTCAAATCTCGTTTTTTGAGAATACTTTTAAGTTTCTCATCACCAAGCCATTCACCCAAATTTCTAGTGATGAGATTATATTTTTCTTCCCATTTTAATTCAACCATGTTTGTTGTTCTAAATAGCAAACAAAAATAAACTTTGTTATAAATAATGTAATCAATAATACTTACTGCAAATAAAATAATACGTTCGACCACGTGTACGATATTCATGAAAAATTTGTAGACTTAACCTCATAAATAATTAATTGTAATTTTAATTTTTATAATACTGATTTTAGCTTAATGTTACACTTCAAATAACAAGTATTATCGTATAATAGACTAGAACAACCATTAGTATAACATAGTCACGACAAATGACTGCAATGATTTACTTTACAATTGTTCCGAATAAACTAATTAAAAATGAGAATTAGTAAACAATTTAATTCCTTATTATAAACTATATAATTTAATTAATTACATTAAATTAATTACATTGTGCAACTTTTGCTCAAGCCGCAAAATTTTGTCACTTGTGCGATCGGAAAGAATTTGTACATTAATCACATACAGATCACAAAAATGTAACTGATACTCAACTCTCTATATATATGTATATATAAATGAATGCAACTTGTTATGAATTTACACCGATGTGATATAATTTCTTCTTTTCATATTTTAACACGATATAAAGTACAATATTTAACATGAATATTTAAACAATTAACTTAATATTTCAATTTGCTTTATTTTCCTATACTTTTTCAATATTATTCTTGTTATTATTTATTAAAATTTTAATGTCTCCCTTTTGATGATTATTCTCAAATTCGTTTTGCTTTAGATTAATTAATGTATTTGCTTCCAAATTAACTTCATGACTATTAACACTTAACTCATTAATTTGATCAAATCTTTGTTTAGCAACCTTTTCCAATCTTTTATAAAAAGTCGATGTCAAAGAAAACATACGTTTGAAATCACGGCGATTTAAGCGCAGTAATTCACATACTTCTAATGCGATTACAGTTTCTAATCTTCTTCGTTTTGGAAATATTAAAGCTGCTTCACCGAAATAACCTCCATCCTTTTCATGACATATCTTATAAATAAAATAAATTACTTTTGTTTATCTTTTTCATAACAAAGGAAGGCAACTTTTTATAATATATGTTGCATACTTCTTTTCCACTGAATGTGATAAGAGCAACGGTTCCACTAACTATAAAGAACATAGAATCACCCTCAGTTTTACTTTTATATATAATATCTTCATTGAGATAAATGACCGGTTTCAAAATTCCTATAAACATTTTATTATAAAAGTAACAGAAATCTTGCAAAATAAAAATATTTATATTTTTCTCTATCTCACCCATTAAATTTCCAATAACATTTCGCGGTAAATAATGCAAAATAATCGCTGTATCTAATAATCCTCGGCTACTATGAATCATGATTTCCTGATTCAAATGATCTGAATACAAAAATTCGAACCTACAGAATATAAAACCAGTAAAATAAAACCTATCTTTATTTTAAATACTAACTTGATAGAGTGCTAGATACTGCATTTTCTTTAAAATAACTGCCTTGAAAACGATACTCATAATAAGCAATAAGTTTATTTTTCAGATTTTCTGAAAGTTTCTTCTCGTTGATATATTCTTTTACTTGTTGCATAATTCGTTGATATTTTAATTCTGGTTCTGCAGCTGACTGAATCAGTTGTAAAACTATAACTATTATAATATGACTAGTGATTACAAAATTTTCTTCTAAACATAATTAGCTATATTGATTGAAAAGATTACCCATAAAATAAATTATACAGCCTTTTCCAAACAGCAATAAAATACAGCGTATTATGGTATCCGATTTTCCTAAGGAATGGAACTCCATGAAACTAGATCCAAAGAAATTACTCATGCCCATATGAAAATATATCAAATAAATTTCAGAGTCGGATTTCTTATACAACTTGGTAGTAATTAAATACATATCTGAATCCTGTAGTAATTATAAATCATTATGTAAATGTATCATTAATGTAAATGTTAAGATAAATTTATACTAAATAAATTTGAATATACCTCCTTACGATCGCCAGCTATATGTGCAATAATAAATGGAAAAACGTGTGTTAGACAACAACACCAATGAAATATTAATAGTACCAAGAGAATTAGCCAAATGGTTTTTTCTTCAGCATGAGAAATTGCAAAAGTCTAAAAAACAAGAACTTTTGATATACCAGTAATTAAAATTAATCCTCCATTAAATGAGTCAGATTTGAGAAATCCACGATGTTTTTCATTTATTTTTGTTATGTTTTATCAGATTTAATACCTTTTAATAATACTCTTATAATAATTTTATTCTAAGTAAAAGAAATTATTTATTAATAAGAATATAAATAAAACAGTGGGTCCTTGTAACTCCACTCGTACGATGGCGGAAGTATCTTTCACCCGTTTGATGGAGGGTTAAACGATGTATTTTTTGAAGTTTTATTTTTATGATTAATTCTTACTGAAATTATTTGTCTGGTGTACAAACGCAATGTATAAATGCGTAAAATTTTTAGAATTGGTAAAAGTTCGAGAATCAATAAAACAGAATTTGAGTTAGGTCCAGGAGGTAAGATACGATCTTTATAAAACCATATATATGGAACAGATGATACAAAATCGATAAGAAAATATCCTTTCATGTAATGTCTACATAAAAATAATAGTTTTAATATTTAATTAATTAAAATTAAACAGAAATTAATAGATTACCGGGTTATTAAAAATGGATCCAGAAAAATTTCATGACCGTCTCGTGATTTAAATCCAGTTATAAAATTAAGAGCAATATCGAATATACAAATTATATATGCAGGATAGACTGGATTCCAACTTTCTGGACCAGAACTTTTAGCTATTCTATGAAATGCCAAAATGTATGGTATTGCGATGAACATATACAGAAGTATAAACGTCATTAAAAGGTCCCAATAATACCTACACAGATATTAATATACATAAACGTTACAACTACATTTTATTACAATTATGAAAAGATTAACTTAAAAATAAAAATCACCTTAAGTAACTGCAAGGATGTATGACCCACCATAATGAAGAACGCCCGTGCCTTTTCTTTTCAAAAGCAATCGCAGCATAGCTACGTAAAAAATTTCGTATTAAAGGGTGATTCACGGAAACAAGAAGAAGTTTCTGAAAACTTCGTTTCCAGCGAGTATAAAATTTTGCATTCGGCGGTAATTTCGGTAAATTACTGTCGGATGTTTTTGGCAATTCACAGATGTGAATATCTAATAGCCTTTTTGGTCGTTTAATTTTCATTTTATAATTTCTTAATGTAGTAACGTATGCATAATATTATACGATTTCCAAAATTTTACTGCACCTTTGTAGAGAAGTTACGTAAGTTATTTTGAAATCAAAATGCAAACAAAAGATAAGCACGTGCGCATGTATATATATGTGTGCTGGCGTACGTGCTTTTTTTTAAATGTTTAAATATAAAAATAGCCGAAATGACGAATAAAAAGGAAATTCCTTGTAAGCTATTTGATATTCGAAAATGGATCCCTGAATTTTCACTTGGTAAATTTCTCTTTCCTCTTTTTAATAGACACACAAAATTAGAAATTATTGTAGAAAAGCACAACTTTCTAAGCGACGTAAAAAATGTATATATTGTTATATTTTACATATTATTATTGATCTATATTGCAACTTAGGCACAATATTTACATGGACAACTATGTAAAATATCTGGGTATAACTGTGACATTATGCATGAACTGTATATTCATGAAATCTTTTAAATACCACAGAACATACCAAAATCATTTTATACAATAATGGCACCTTACTGTATAAAATACAGAATATTATATATTGTAACAATTTGACATACTTCTTACTGTATATATTAACATATAAATTGTAATTTCATCCCATTTTCTTGTAAAATAGTTTCACTTTGAAACCTTAATATATACATTAGTATGTACAATAAATTATAAATTTTTTATCAATCAATCTTAGACAGGATACAATTATATATCCACGACAAACAAAAAATTTCTCAAATAATAAAAATTCTGTATCCAATTTTCTCTTCAAATAATTTACTTTGATAAAATTTCTCCAATAACGAATAAAGATGTCTATAAAAAAAAAAAAACGTTTACAAAAACGGTACATAATAAAATCTAATATAGAAAAATATATAATGTACAAGTTAGAAAATTTATTCGTCGCTAGTGAAATTAATTGTATACGGAATGTAGTTATTTTTATGCCTATGAATTATGTTATTTTTACTCGTAAATAATAAATTTTTGTTTAAAAAGATATTTTTCACATATTTTGAATATTATACTTCTTTTTTGTACTTTAGATAATGCAAAACGAGCAGCTTTATGTTTCCGAGAAACTTTGATAATTTGTTTAAAAAATGAATCTATAAGTGATACAAAGCCAATAGGCGGTTACTGTATTCTGATAGAATCCATTGGGCCAAAGGCTCGGGAACTTTTAGTGCATGTGCAATCTTCAATGTCCATTGATGGTCATTTCGGTGGGTCAAAAGTTATCAGCTCAGCAACATCAAAATTCCATTGCCTTGAAGAAAAAAGGACAGAGTTAATTAATCTTAATAACCATATTTTTTTATATTCCCGTAAATAACATTAACGTTATATAATATTACAGATTTATGTATAAAGATGGACATCATGAAAAAACAATTTTTATGGGCATTGAAGACAACTTTTATCATATAAAATTAACACAAATTTGTCCATGTAACAAATTTACAGAAACTAAAAATTTATCTTTTTGCACTAACAGTAAACTATTAAGTGAAGGGGCCAATATATTACTTATGCGATATTTAGCACTTATAAATTATGGAGGAATATTATCTTTTGAAAGTATTTCCATAGATGGAGATCTTACTAAATCTACTTATGTAAGAAAATATGGAAATATTTTGTTGAATTTAAATAAGGAAATACTTCTTTTATCAGATATGTACTCCTGCTAAACATATAGAATTATATGGTCATTTTTTAAATGCTTATATAATCGAACGTAAAATACACAGAGAAGATGGAACTATTCATACTATTAGAACTTATTTAACACCGAAAGGACGAATACTTCAACATAATTGGTTGGATGTACCATATATTTTGAAATTTAATCCATTAGCAGATCCAAATACTCCAACTAAAACAATAAAAATAGAGATGCCTCTAAGAGATCGCTGGATAGAAGATATTGAAATGTTTTCTAAATATTTAGATAAAAAAGTATGAAAGTAATATTAAATATATTTGCTGTGGATTATCGTAATGGATAAAAATAATGGATATTTTGTGCTATTAATAGTTTTCCAAAATTGCTGAACACACAGAATATTTAGATGATCATCCAGAAGTAAAACAACTAATTGCAGATTATGTTCAAATACTATTAGTTGGTAATCAATTTATTAACTGGAGAAACATTGTGCCAATACTTCTTAGACAGGTCAAACTGGATTTTATATTTTATGATAATATATTAATGTTTTTTATAATTTACTGGTCTCCACAGTAAAACCTCAAAACGTGATAGACTTTACAATACAACATTTTAAAGCATTTGCAAAAAATCCAATAACTTCGGAGACCAGTACATTGCAGGATAATTATGATGGTGATATATCACAGATAACAGAAAAAGAATCAGATACTTTGTGCAATATTTGTGGATTTCGCATCAACAGTGTTGTATTAAAAGAAGATTCTTCAACGCATTTCGCTGAATATCACGAAGTGAAGACAAATAGATTCAAATTATGCAGTAATTGAATTCATTATTACAATAAATAATTATTTTCAGAGTTTCAACGATTCGGCAAAATCTGTTTATTCAGAAGGATTAAAAGACTCTGATTCTCAAACTAATAATCAAGAAAAATTTGATACACCTAATCTGACAAAATATATGCTTGATATTTTACCATAATTAAAAAAGATTTGTAATTCATGCAAAGCTATTGTAAAAATTTATGACGAATATAAAGTAAACTTCATTGTATTTAAAATAAATTCATATATTACATTATTATATTTATGAAATATTTACACAATTGTTTAATTTTCAGTCTCATTCGAAATCCTGGATGCCTTAAAGTGTACAAAATATGAATGAAATTTTACACTATCGATCAATTATTACAAAAATTAAAGTATTAAAGTTCAGTCACAAATTATATTTAAATCTATGCAGAATATTTTTAATTAAGATTAAATTTTACCTGTATCATTTCTTATTAGGAGATATATCTTTTGGAAAATTACATATAACACAATTTTCCTGAAAAATAAAGCCAAAACATGAAAATCGAAAAATATTTTTTAAATTGTTTAAAACAAAATACATACCATTTTGAATTTTGATAAACAATCTTCATGAAATGAATGTTTACAATAAAATACAATTAAATTCCTTGGTTCTGTAACAAATAATATGTTGCTAATCAAATGGTACTAATATACATTTAAATATTTATATTATAATCATAATTATAAACATAAATATTATTTTAATAGATACCTTTTACAATTATTTTTCTATCACAAATTCCACATATTTGATCATCTGAGGAAAAAAGGTACCAATTATTAGCAAAAGTGAAATTTTTGCAATAGAATTTGAATTAGAATTACTTGATACCTACCATCTATAAATATTCCTTTTTGGTGACACTTAACCAGTCTTTCATGTAAATTAAAATAATCATTGGATAAAATTTTTTTACAATCTTCTTGTACTGACACTTGCAGATTATAATCACACATCATTTTGACTAAAGCCTTTTTCAAACCAGGAATTTTTAAAGATGGTTTTATTCTTTGTACCAACAGTCTAGGATCAACATATGTGCCTATTTTTTGCAATAAAAATGTGATGGCTTCTGAAAAAAACAATTTAATTTAGTAAAGTTAAAGAAATGTATAAAGCATTGGTATATTTAATACTTACTGGGCTTATCCAGGGAATAAATGATCAGATCATTCCATAATTCTTCGTCATCGTGTTCTTGACAAAATGCGATCGCACTCTCCATATCATTTAATTCTCTAGTCATAAGTGCTAAAGCTTCAGAAGTATTTCCAATTCTACCAAGTAGATACACCATTTCTGGATAGAATCGCAGCTGACTACATATATCTAATGCTTGTTGTATAGGATAATTATCTGAACGACGTAAAAGTGGTAATAATTTATCTCTTGAATAATAAGCATAAAGTTGGACTAGCAATCCATGGTGTTTACTTTTTGAGTTTTCTGTATCTTTTTGGTCTAATGCATCTAAATACTATCGCAAATCATTTTTAAAATATAGTTGCAAACAAAAAATTATGATACTCGCTTAATATTTTCTTTTTTTCATCTTACCAAATATAAATATCGGTGATTATGCTCCAATTGCTGTATAACAATGTCAGATGGCACCCTATTTTTTTCTAAAAGAAACTGTATAGTACGTTCCGCATCCAAATCCATTAAACCTTCTATCATGTCGAAAATGGTTTTGGATAGTGGGTACTTTCGAATAAGTTCAAATACAGCCTTATGTCTCAATTTTAGGTACATAGCTAATGCTTTATCATATTTTCCGTCGTGAATATATAAAATAGCTAAAGCTTCTAATAATACATTTTGTCGTTGATTATGAATTAGATGTTCTAAAACACCATTTACAACAGCTGCTGCATTATACAGTTTCGGTGACCATTCTTTGACTAGATCAAGAAATCCATTAGGATCCATTTTCAAATATTCGAAAAGAACCATTTCGTAAATCAACGGATCTAATGTTACATCGCCTCTAGGGAGATATGAAGAGATAGACCGCAATTGGTGGACTTTTGCAAATTTATATACCTACAATGGAATAATGTTAATAAGATTGCAAGTTACAGAAATAATTGTAATTTAAGAAGTGACATTAACTTCTTCTTCCCACAATTTTTTATCCTTTCCAAAAATTTTTAAACAAAGTTTTCCTGCTTCATTATATTTCTCACAATCTAATAAATGATCTAAGTATACACGGCCAACATTAACTAAAGTATACTTCTTACAATCTTTCTCGTTATTTACTGTTACTGCCTCTAATGCTTGTTCAAATTTTCCATGGCTTAACAACCATTCAATTCTGTCATCTGCGTTATATAGACTAGCTACAACAATATCCTTTGGACTTACAATAAAAAACCTAAACACAAACATAAATATAAAATTAGCTTTTAAATAATAAATTTAGTCAAAATAATCTAAATACCTGTTTTCTTCTTTTAAACAGTCTAAATGATAATCATTACAACTGTATTCTTTATAACCACGAAGTGTAAGAGAATTTGCACAGACAATAGAAAAATCCTGAAATTTTGGTTCAACAACATGCAACGTTGGCCTCTGACTTTTACCATTTTCATCCAATTCTTTTAAACAGCCCAATAATACTAACTGATTTTCTAAGGGTGCAATGCCAGAGATATAAAAGTCCACTTGAAAAGTGGAAACTAAAATTAAAAATTTATTATCTATTGTATTTCTACCATTGCTTATATATTTAGTAATATTTATTTTATTAGATATAAAATGTATACCTGGATCTACTACATATTCTGGTAGATCTCTATTAATCATCTCTTGCATTGATCTCTTTCTAATTTGACAAATTCTGACTATGTCAACCCAACCAATTAATAGAGTTCTATCATCTGACCATCGAAGATTACATCTGTAATGTTCTGGTAATGCACTGGATAAAATATTACATATTCAAGAATTATTTTAATCTGAATACTGCATAGAAATGTTATATATCACTTTCTTACTTACTCAGCAGATCTAGTCCATTTAATAAGACCTAATGAACATCTGGCATTTAAATCATAGACTCTAACACCAGTATCAGATGCCCAAGCCACAAAATGTCCAATCCATGCAATTGACCTTACTCCTCCTTCTGCATCACATAATACAGTTAGTTTCATTCTAGATAAAAAAGTTTTTTCATATAAGACCAATTTGTCATCTCCTAAAAATAATTTTTATTACTGAGCATCTTCTTTAAATCGTATTTAAAAATTAAACATGTGGACAAAAAATAATTACCTGTAATAAATCTTCTTCCATTACCATTTTTATAATAATTTGGGTCTATAGCTATACTTTTAGCTAATCGACCCATATTCATCTTATGATTATTTTCTGTGCTATAAAGACCATATATAAAAACTTTTCCATCGTCACTGCACGATGCAATGAAATCTCCTTTATAGTCTATAGAGATCTGATTCACAGCAACTGTATGTGCTTGTAAACTTTTAGATTGTATATTGTTTCCTTGATGATCTAATAGATGTATCATACCCCAGTGTGAACCCAGACATAGGAACTAAACAAAAATTTAATTAATATAGTAAACAATATAACAATAGTAAATTATGGAAGATAATATAACATTTCATTTGCATTGTATAAAAAAATGAAGAGATTTAAAGAATCAAAATCTAAATGATAATGTAGAAACTTAACTATGCTTAACCTACATGGTTAGCTCTATAAAAAACATTTTTATAAATATAAATAATAATTTTGTACCTTAGAATGTACTGCAATGCAACTAGCTGCATCATTTTGCAATATATTTTCTAAATCGTTTCGTACCCTGACGTATTTGAGTCTTGGTTCTACGTCGCCTACTTCAGAGTCTGAATTATTTTGATTATTTTGTTCTTCCTATAAAGTAATTTTACGTAATTAATATTTCGATACTTCTGGTTACTAAAAGATTGTAAATAATACCTTATTCGAGGTATTTTCCATGCCCGTTCCTTCAATTTTTAAACAGAGAGAAGCTTATGAATGTTCGTAACCACGAAATGTCAAAAACCTCTCCGAGACTTTTAGTTATATATCAAACTTTTTAGTTGTGAATTTCGTTTTGTTATTTGCACTTTACATCACCAAAAGATCATTACAGACCATAAATATTACAAATTTTTTTTAACGAATAAATTAAAAAAAAAATAATCACGTTGATACAGTACTGTACTTCTAATGAACTGTACTAGGAAATAAATATTAGTATAGTTTATTTCACTACGATAAAAGGTTAACGTCAGATAGTGCTGTGTATGTTGATTATTAGACATTAAAATGCTTCTATTGTTTATTATGTATGAACAATGAAAATATTGTTACTAATTCTTAATCCCTAATTGTATCATGTAGATTTACATATATACAGATCGTATTTCAAAATAAAATATCTGAAAATGTCCAAAATTAATTATAACTCAGAGAAAAACTCACCGACCTCACGATCACCGCAAGAACGCAAAGAAATTTTAAGGAAAATTATAACTAGAGCTCAATCTTTACGTAAGATTTTTTAACATTATGAATTGTAGAAAAAATAAGTATTGTATTCAATGTAATTTTTTCAGAGAACACAATCAATGATGACACTATACAAACTTTGGAACTATGTATGGAACAAACAGACAGTATAAACTCAGAAACAAGTTTAGAAGAAAAGGGTATATAATTTCAAAATATATTTTATTTCATATAGTTTGATTATTTGAAATATTATTCTTATCTTTTTTTCTTTGATGTTATTTTTTAGTGCATAATCAAGAAGAAGTATTAATGGATTCAGAAATGATGAATATATCATCTAGAGTTTTAAAACACTGTACAAAGTCCTTAACGAAACTTGTATGTGCATATAACCATGTAGAATTTGCCCAGAAATTAGTAGGTATTATTATATCAATAAGTTTCTATTGTTAATAAGTATTTTTATATAAGTTTTATATATGTACTTAATTTAGGTAAAGTATATAAAGGAACTTCCAGATGTTGAACCAGAAACACCAGATTGGTCACTTTTGGAATCACAAGTTACAAAATGTTTTAAAAGGACACCTCAGTATAGCACATTATTAGGTTTTATAAAATTGTACTTTTAAAACTTACATGACTAATACCACAGAGATAATAAATTTGTTCTTTTATATTTTTAGGCACTTTGGCACCTTTAGAAAAAAAAGAAGTTAACAGGAAAAAGCCAGTAGTTCGAGAAGCTCAAGTACAAATAAAACGACCAGATAACATTGTAACGGCTGAAAAGGAAGAAGAAAGTCTTGAAGAAACTGTAAAAATAAACAAATTTATCTCTAAATATTATAAAACTCATCACAAACCACTTGATTTTTTTAAATTAATTTTACATCCAAATGATTTTGGAAAAACAATTCAAAATATTTTACAAATATCTTTTCTTGTTCGAGATGGAAAAGTAAAAGTATCAAAAGGTAATATTGATTTTCAATAATTAGTAAAAATTATACCTTTTGTACATTAAATTCTATTTTATTGACAGATGCATCTGGAATACTTGTTGTTCAACCATGTACTAAAGATATGATAGCTCAATTAAAGGCAGGAAAAACTTCAAATGTTCAAAATGTAATATATTTAAACATGGAACAATGGAAGGTAACACTGTCACTTTTATGAAGTATTACTCTGTATCAAATAATTATTTTATATTTCAGATTTTGAAGAATATTTATCAACTAGAAAAACCAATGATTGAATGTGATACTGAAATATTACATGTGATATAATTATACTTTTGGGAAAAACGAACAATATTATTTCACATTGTGATACTTTATGCAGAATTTAAATTGTATTAATAATTAAACTGACAAAAACTATTTTTTTTTTTGTTTATATAAATCTGGCAATAAAATGTTTCCTTTTTTCCATTTTTTACCTACATTAAAATGAAAATGCTTTACAAAAGCAAACAATTTTTTGGACTGTATATTCATTTATATATTTTTGTAAAACTTTTATTAAGTCCTGACATATACTATAATGTTAAAGTATATGTTAAATAATA